ATAATACCTGAGCACATAGATATTATCAGGTAATAATTCCTTTACAACCCAGCCCATGAGCTGTGCAGATAAAGGGGGTGGGTGGCTTTAGGGTTTGCTCAGAAAAGTCCAGAAAAGTTGCAATGATTCCTGTCTTCAGGGCCGTCACTTATTCACTTTATTAGAACTTCGTATATTTCTATATAAGAAATCCATAGAGAGAGGAGCTTTAACTCTGATTTTTGACCAGACGACTCTGCAGATAAAGCTGAATTATATCTTCCTTTTTAGCAACCTTTGAACTATTGTCTATATTAAACTAAAACCATTGGAGTTCAAAATATTCCACAGTGGCTCTTAATCCAAGGATGATACTTCAAAGGAATCTGAGCAGTTTTGTGGGAGCCAAATTGAGAGCAGCCAAAATTAGTCTTCTGTGCCTCTTCAGGATACACAAATCCAAATTGGCTTGACAAAATTCAAGCCTTCTGTTGTAGTTGTTAAAAATCGAGATAGCTTTCCATTTCTGCTGTCCATCCCCATCCCATTTAACTGGATATCAGTGAATTTAACCACTGCTACCATTTACTACAGGGTAGCTCATTAAAGGGAAGTATCCTGGAGAAAGGAGGGAATTGAGTTCCCAATAAGTTGTGGTGCCAGGTACATTTTGCCCAGGTTTAGTTTTCTGTCTCTGTAATTCCAGCCCAGGCCCCAGCAGTGCCCCAGGGGCTCCACCTGGAGATCAGGAACACCAGAGGGATCCAAGCCCTTCCCACAGGGGCTCTGCCAGCCTGGATGAGTCCTTTGGTTGTCTTGTTTTTCTGCAAATTTCTTTTCTGGAGGTCCAGACACACTGAAGGTTCTCCTGATGGTGTTGTCACACAAAATAATTAGATTTTCTTTTAGGGAATCCCCAGAACTATGGGGTTTTTGGGAGATGCGTCATTCCTGCCCTGCAGTGCTCCTGCCTCTCCATGTCTGTGAGCTCGCTGTTCCTGGCTCTGTCAGGCAGGTCCATGTCCCCTCTGGAGCAGGGACGGGCTCTGGGCTGTGGCACCTGTGGAGCTGGGCAGGTGCATTTCTGTGCATCTTGAGCTCTGCCCAAGCTGGGTAATATTTCAGCCCCGCTCTGGTGATGAATTCTCAGCTCTTTAGGGCTGGAGAGCAGCAACACCTCGGACCAGACTAAACGGGCACTTAACGAGGCCGAGAGTACCAGGGCTCCCCTGGAATTACCCAGCACATTAAGGCCAAATGAGCTCATCCTGAATTCATTAGCAATGATTACTCTGAGTGCCAGAGGAATTAATAATCATTAGCATTTCCTAAGGAGGGCTGCCGGATCCGGGGCTCCACAGGTTTCCCCAGGCAGCTGCATTCGAGGGACTCATTAAGTGCAGCTCCGTGGGCACTGCAGAGCTCCCTCTGATATCTTCAACCCGCACTCCCAGTTCACTTGCAATCCAGCTCTAAAAGCACTTCAAAGCCCGGCACTGCCTGGCTCAGTCACTGCTGGAATTACCTCCCTCACTCTCGTTTTGTCTCCGAGTGAATCTCCCTGGCTTTCTGCAGCTCTTCTGAAAGGTTCATAAACCTGGGAGGCTGCTGGGAGCCACCCAAGGGCAAGGGGACTCCACAGACAAAAGGAATGCAAAAACGCTGTGTTATTATTTTGTGCAAGCAAATTCTCAAAGTAAAGATATCCAAGGCTTTGATTTGGCTCCTTAAAGCTCCCTCTGTTCCCAGCAGCATTTGAAGACTCGGCTGCTTTGCATATCAGAGGCAGCTGACTTGGAGGCACAGGGAATTCACTGCTCACTTTGGATGACCTTTTCCTTTGGGGATGAGCTTCCACAAGAGTTTCACTTCTCTGACAACCTACTCCTGTTCACTGTCTCCAAATACCACACACTTGGAATTTACATCATCCTGGTACATTCAAATACAGCAATGAGCTTTTCTGCATAGCTGCTCCTTGTAAGCAGCAGGATCAAATCATGGCGTTATGGAGTCTCCTGTCCATGCCTATGTGGAGCTGTCAGCGTTTTTGTATCTCATTGTGGAACAATATAGTATGGCATCAATATAATAATGGTATCAATATAATCTGATCTTTATGGACAGGGAGCATAAAAGCTCAAGTACCGTTCATATAATCTGATTATCTCCTTCCTTTTACACAGGGCTGCTTTCCTTATCCAGTTTGATCTCTGTCCCAAGGTCCCTGTGGCGTTACTCTGCCAGTGGAATTGTCCCCTCCAAGTTTTACGTGAGCAGCAGAGTTTATGGCTCGAGTTCATGGACCTCCTTGCCAAGGCTGGGCAGGTCCCTCTGGAGCAGGGCAGTAGCACTGAGGCTCCCGTGGCGGTGCCACCCCTGCCCTGCCCCCTGTGCCAGGGCTGCTCTGCTCTTACAGCTGGGGCCTCAGCACTGGGGGCCACATGGGAAAGGAAGTTTCCTTTTGTTGGGTTCAGCAATCTTGGGATTAAGCTGAAGGAGTTTTAATTAACAAACTAAGCGTCAAATGTGTTTTCAGGATAGTCAGAGTCATTTTGCAGCCACTTTTAAACCAAAAGTGCAAAGGAAACCCTGGTGGTGGCACAAGTTTCCCCAGGTCTTTCTCTGCAGAGCTGAGAACTTGTGCATGGTCCATTTATATCTTACTTTTATTCCATCTTGAATCCAAAACCAGTGAAATCTTTAAAGTAAAAATGCATATTTTGTTTCAACCTGCAGTAAAGGAAAGCTGAGCCTTTGGCCTTGACTCCTCTGATCTCCAGGTTATTGGCAAGGATGCACAATTGCCTGATGACCTTGATTGTCACACAGGTCAATGGCATTGCTGTGACTCAGGGGCCATAAAGCTCCACTTCCAGGTGGGCTGAGAGCTGGGGCTGCTCTATAAAGCCAGGGCTCAGCCCAGCTGCTCCATCCAGCTCCATCCAGCTCCATCCTGCTCCATCCAGCTGCTGCTCTGCTCCAGCCTCATCCCAAGGCAACCATGGCATTCTCAGGCAAATACGAGTTCGAGAGCGACGACAACTACGATGCCTTCGTGCAGAAGATTGGTGAGTGTGGCTGGGGTTTGTGCAGGGATTGGTGAGTGTGGCTGGGGTTTGTGCAGGGACTGGTGAGTCTGCCTGGGGTTTGTGCAGGGACTGGTGAGTGTGGCTGGGGTTTGTGCAGGGACTGGTGAGTGTGGCTGGGGTTTGTGCAGGGATTGGTGAGTCTGGCTGGGGTCAGAAATGGGGCATAGATTGGATAAAATACAGGGGAAAGGCTGGGAGAGCTGAGATTGTTCAGCCTGGAGAGGAGAAACTTTGGGGTGACCCAGCTGTGACCTCCCAGTGCCTGAAGGGGCTACAGGAAGGATGGAGAGAGACTTTGCAAGGAATGGAGTGACAGGACAAGGGGGAAGGGATTCAAACTTGCAGGGTGTAGGTTTAGATGGGATATTAAGAACAAATTCTTCTCTAGGAGGGTGGGCAGGATGCCCAGAGCAGCTGTGGCTGCCCCTGGATCCCTGGCAGTGTCCAAGGCCAGGCTGGATGGGGTTGGAGCATCCTGGGATAGGGGAAGGTGTCCTTGCCCCTGGCATGGGGTTGAATGATCTTTAAGTTCCCTTCCAACCCAAACTGTCCAAAGATTCCATGTGCATTTAGTTAAAAGAGCAAGAGCAAATATACAAATAGTTATGTGCAGCTAAATAGCAAAGACCCAAGGTCCCACAGATGAAACTCCAAGCATTGCATGTGTAGGTTAAGGAGAAAGGAATATTTAATGTACTATGTACATTTTTCCTGTGTATTGTTTCTTAAGGAAAAAATTGCAAGCTTTGTTTTAGCAAACATATTAATGCAATATCTTTCTTTGCATCAATAATTTCAACTCAGAGCTTTGATATTGTAAAAAAAATTAAAATAAGAAATGAACAAGTCAGATGCTCTGAGAACAAACACACCACTACCGTCCTTCAGTTCAATTCAGCTCAGATTTGACAAACTCTGTTTTTGTTGTTTAAGGCCTCCCCAGTGACAAGGCTGAAATGGGAAAGAACTGCAAGATTGTGACAGAGGTGGTGCAGAATGGGAATGACTTCACGTGGACACAGCACTTCCCAGGAGGCCGCACCACCACCAACACCTTCACCGTGGGCAAGGAGGCAGACATGGAGACCATGGGAGGGAAGAAGTTCAAGGTAAATTCACAGAGCTCCTCAGCTCCCCGGCCTCAGGTGGAATTGGATTCGGGGTGAAAAGCAAACCTGTGTGTCAGGCAGTGAAGGGGTCCCTGCCCATGGCAGGGGGTGGGACATGGGGAGCTCTAAGGCCTTTCCAGCCCAGCCCATCCTGGGGCTCCCTGGGTGCATCATCACTGATTCCTGGGCTGCCTGCCAGGACCATTTTCAGAGCTGGTAATGAGTGATGTGCAGATCCGGAATCTGCAGGAACTGGGAGATGAACAAGTGTCTGTTTAACTTGTGAACATTCCAGAACTAAAGCCCACAGATTTCAGCCCTGTGCAGCACACAGCCTCTGTCTCATAAACTTCCAGCACCAGGTGTGCAGGTGTTTACAGAATCTGGCAACAGAAATTCCATCCCCAGCAACATGAACCCTTTCTCTCTCACAGGCAACTGTCAAAATGGAAGATGGAAAACTTGTAGCTGATTTCCCCAACTACCGCCACACCTCAGAAATCTGTGGGGGGAAGCTGGTGGAGGTGAGTGCTCAAAGATCCAGGGTAGTTCATGAAAACAAAGAGAATCCCCAACATTTGAAATTTAGGAAAAAATCTTAAATGAAGGACAGGCTCTGAGCCATCCCCAGGGCTGTTCCCCTGGGACTCTGGGGCTCTGATTACACTGTCCAACCAAAGCTTTGGTTGTTCTTTATTCCAGACTTCTACTTCTTCTGGTGTAGTCTACAAGAGGACCAGCAAAAAGATTGCCTAAGGCAGCAAGGCCAGTCTCTTCCAGTGCACTGAAAGCCAACAATAAAATAAATAAAATAAATAAAATAAAGTTCTGTCTTTGTCTCTTTCTTGGTTTTACAAACATCATGTTAATGCTGACCCCATTCCTAAGTATCTGACAGGGGTGGAACCAGATGAGATTTAAGATCCTTCCCAACCAAACCCTTCTGTGACTGATTCTTTGCTCTGAGGGACACCAGAGGTGCTCAGAGCACCACTTTGTGCCCTGAGAGGAGCCCTGAGCCTTAAAAACAAGACCTTTTAATCACTTCCTGTGCAGACCAGATGCCTTGATGGCCTGGGAGGGACTTTTACAACTCCAGCTGGCAAATTCCTGACTCTTTTTGGCTGGCAAAACCCGATTCCATTAACAAGGGCTGTGCTGGGGTGTGGAGGAGGGAGCCCAGTGACACAATCTCCAGCATCAGTGGCACTTCCCAGCTCAGCTTTAGGAAATGACTGCTGGTTTCCATGCTTTATTATAACAATGCAATAACCAAAGCATTCTGCACCAGTATTTGAATTACATGTCCATGGCATCTTGGAATGAATAATCATGGAATACATAATGGGTGGCTTTGGGATGGAGACATTGATGAGGCTGATGAAGGCCTGGTACCCTGTGGAAAAGTCTCAATAGTCCATACAGGGTGCAATCAGCTGATAATCCCATAGGCAAATGTGGAATCATCTGATAATCCCAGGCATGACCCACGTAAGGCCTCAGTTTGTTGGATTGAGGCCATTTCCTATTTTGTCCCCACAGTTTCTCCTCCTACACTTCATTGAGATAATCTTGGTCAGGATAAATCAAGAATCCAGTAAACAAGCTGTCTGTCCAGTAGGGATCATAGAAGAGCCCATTTTGCTCTGAGTAAAAGATTTGCAGCCACACCTCATCCTCCTGCTTCAGCGCCAGGATGGTGGATCCAGAGGCCACGTCGTGGTTGCCGGTGTTGGCATCGAAAGTCTTGATGCGGTACTGCCCGTTGTGCACCAGGCCGATGGCCAGGTGCTTGTTGGCCAAGGTGATGTCGTAGGTGAAGTAGTAAATCCCCGGGATGCTGCAGATGAACTTGCCGCTGGAAGCATTGTAGTGCCCTCCCTCGTTCATCAGGATCCTGTCGAACTTGATGGGCAGCCTCTCGCGGGGGTAGCTGGTGGACACGGCCACCGAGAAGGCAGACCTGGCCCTGCCGGCCCCGCAGCTGCAGGGCCCCGGCAGCCCGGCCTCGCCCCGGCTCCCCTTGGGCCCCTTCTTCCCCGGGGCCCCGCTTTTCCCGGGACTGCCCTTCAAACCCTTGGGCCCGCGGGGCCCGGCCTTGCCAATGGCTCCTGCTTTCCCCTTCGGGCCTGGCTTGCCAGGGTTTCCTGTTCTGCCCTGGGGACCTGCAAGACAAATTATCTTGTCAGGTTCTCTTATCGCTCTTGAGGGAAAGAGCTGAATACAGTGGGTGGAAGGGGGTTAGAGCATTGCAGCAGGGATTTCATTTAGGAGGAAGCCATTGCTGGTGTGAAAATCCCAATGAAATCCCACCGGGGCTGGACATCTGTCCAGACTGACCAGCCAGGGTAGGCAGGGAGCTGGTGTGGTAACAGTGGAATTCCGTCCTTTTTAAGGACCAAAGGCTGATTCTATTATCTGGCTCACTTGAGAAAAAGAAGGAATTACAGAACAAGTTGTAAATGTTTTGGTTTTATAGAGTGGGGCAGGTTTGTGAAGCTTTCAGAGGCTCAGTCTGAGCAGGTGAATGCTTTTGATCTCATAACTTTCCTTTTTCTTTGCTTTTTTTTTTTTAGATTTAGCATGAGACTGTATAAAAACAAGGTAAAAGTAGATCTAGGTGTTGCAAAAAGCCCAGCCCAGCCCAGCTGGGGGATGAACCAGCAAACACTGCGGGCAGGGGCTGCCTTGAGAAGGGAAGGGACTTGGGCTGGCAGCGATTCTGGCTCGGTGCTATCTGATCTGTGCAAAGCCGTGAGGATTTATGCAGTGCCTCCTGACCTGCTGTTAGCAGGAGCAGATCGAAACGCGGCTGTGGCTGGAAATCTGCTCTCCAGATTGCCGGCTTGGGGCGGGAGGAGGCGGCAGCCGCCGGCTGGGCTCGCTGGCGTTGCTGAGGCAGGAGTGCTCTCTAGCGTGGCACAGGGAAATCTCTGCTGTGCTCAGCTCCCGCCGCCTCTGACTCCGGCACAGCCCCGGCTCGGTTTGCTCCGCGCTAGGCCCGGCACGGCCCGCGCCTGTCCCGTTACAGCGCTCAGGGCAGCCCCTGCTGCCCTTCCTCCTTGGGAGCAGGAACCTCCGAGCAGCTCCTTGTCTGCTCTAGAGAGCCCTGAGCGGCGCAGGGCCAACCTCACTGTGCCACCGAATGAATCCAACACAAACTGCAGCTGTGAGAGCACGGTGAGAGTGCGGAGCCCCTGGGACAAGCGGGATCATTCGGGGGCGGACAGTGGGAATTCCTGGCGGAGTTTCCCATCAGGTGGAGCAGTGAAGGGGCTGTTCCCCCACAGCTCCCACCCTTCCATTGCCATGTCGAGCGCCTCTCTCTTACCTTCATCGCCGTGCTCGCCCTTGTCGCCGTCCTGGCCGTCCTTGCCGTCCTTGCCCGGGAAGCCCATCCTGCCCACGGTGCCGGGGGTGCCGGGCAGGCCCGGGGGCCCGGGGGGCCCGGGGGGCCCGGGCAGGCTGCAGGCCAGCTGGGCACCGTCCTGCAGCTGCCGCTTGGCAAAGCCCCCCAGGATGTGGTTTGCCACGCAGGGCACGGTCCAGAGGAGCAGCACAGCCGAGATCATGGCACAGCCTGTGGGAGCAGACGGGATCAGCAGCCTGAGGGCACCGCTGGCATGGCTGGTGTCGAAACTTGCAGGAAAATGGGAGATTATCTGGCTTGTCCTGGCAGGGTGGGGGAGCTGTTTGCTTTGGTGTGATGCGATTCCAAGGACTTGGCTCACGGAGTTTTCTAGCTCAGACCAATATTTTTTATCAAACTTACTCTTCTCCAGCTCTGTGTCTGTGGCCATCTCTCATTTCATCCTGCTCCCTGAGCCTCTTTTCCCCCAAAACACCAGCAGCAATGGCAGAGGGGTGCAGAAAGCAGCTGCTTGGGAAGCAGGGAAGGGGAAGGAGAAGGGGCTTGGTGTGAACATCCCAGCATGACCTGTCCATGGCTGGGTCACTGGGGTTTCCTCAAAGCACAGAGCCCATCATAAGGGCAGCACTCAGAAGAGAGGCTGGGCAGGCTTTGGGCCAGGCCTCAGTGCCTCTTGCCTGTCAGATGAGCTGAGCCTCATCCCCTTCCCCACTGCAGCTCAGCTTTAGCAGCTCCCCAGTACTGTTCTGTGCAGCTCCTGCACTGGAAATAACATGCTTAAAGCACTGGCTAAATTCCATGTTGGCCTTAGCTCTCATCCTGCTCTCAGTTCCTGAGGGGTGGAAATGCATATTTAGATGCTCCAAATCCAGCCAGCTGATCCTACATATTTATGCTCAGTGGGAGCCCCCAGTTCTGTGATATTATAATTAAGAACATGCAAAGGAGAGGGAAATGCAAACCAGATCCAGGGCTGGATTTGGCTTCTTAAACCCTTTGGTTCTTCAGCTCTGATTTGCTGCTGGTTGGTTTAATGGACTTGTGAGATGGAAAACACCACCCAGTGTTCAAATGGAAAGTTGAATGAAGGGAAAGGGAAGGGAAACAAATGCCTGTGGGGTGGGAGATCACACGGCAAGCAGCATCCCTGCTTCCCAGGAACCCCTCCAACGGGGCAGAACAGTGAGAGGTGTCTGGAGGTAGATGTGACTCACAAGCTGTGGCAGGGAAAAATGTCATTGTGGAGCATAACCTGGAGAAAAGCTGGGAATGCCTCATGTGGAGAAGGAAGGTGTGAGAGGGAGCAGAGGGTGGGACAGCAGCTCCTCCTGTGACAGTTTCTTACCAGAATCACTTCTGATATCTTGAGACAACCCAGCTCATTGCCCTGATGGGATAAAAAGTGGCAAACAAAATCCCCCGAGGTCATGAGGTTTGTGGGACCAGTACTTGGATAAGTGGGGAGAATCCACACTGGGGCTGTGCTCTGGCACAGCTCCAGAGCTGGTGCTAATTAACAGCTCCACAAGAACACTTCATCCCATATCCCAGCAATGTGTGTGGGATGCAAAGCACCACCACATCCACAAGAGCATCTATAAATACCCTCTTCAAGAAACCTTTTTGAAAGAGAACAAACCTCATGCTGTTCCACCTTAAAAGGAAAATTGTTCCTCGATGTAGAAGGTCCGATGAGCTCCAAAAAGCAGATTGGAAGCAGATCAGCATCTCCCCTCTCTGTGGTGTGGGCAGGCAGCCCAGCACAGGAGGCTGTGCAGCAGCAGGGCTGATTTTCCAATGACATTTTAACCAATGGCTTTGTCACCAGGGTTAGAGACCTTTGGGCCGTGACCAATGCCTGTTGTGCATTAAAGAAGTGTTTCTGTAAGAAAAGATCCTGCCTGGAAGAGTCAGGATCAGCTGTACTTTCTGCTGCTTCCAGGGCAGCTGGGCTGAAATCCCAGAGGAAAATCCCTGAGGGTTGCCAGATGCAGGGTTTGGTGGCATGTGCAGTGACGATGATTTTTTGGCCAGTGAAGCCACCCTGTGCCATGTGGTGGTGGGAACAGGAAACGGAGGGAATTGCTGCTTGGAGGGAGGCAGGAGTAGGATGAGGGACCCAGCAGTGAGTGAACACTGTGACATTCTTCTCTATTTCCTTTCAGTATTCGCGGCTTTCTCAAATAAAACATCCATCTTTCTGCTTCACAATTTCCTAGTGTACCTCAAGGTGTCTTAATTAATCTTCAAGATAATCATTATCTCATGAGCCTAATTCTCAGCTCTGGAGGCTGCCCTGCAGCGTCCCTGGGGTGGAAGCAAAAGGAGCCCTTGGGTGTGAGGCTGATTTCGGTGAGATCAGGTGTGACAGCACTGACACAGCACCGGAAATGGGTGGATTTAACTGATAGGAGCCAGGGAAGCCCTTACACCCACAGGGGTTTGATGTGCTCCCTGCTGCTGCACAAAGCAAAGGAGGGAAAGCAGAGGATGCCCCTTCTGTCCTTGGCTGCAGGCACCGGGAATTCCTGTGCCAAACCTTCCCTAGCCTGGAGCACAAACACAGGAATTCCTGTGCCAAACCCTTCCTAACCCGAGCTCAAACCCTCTCGGCAGCTGCCCAGTGCAGGACAGGCTGAGGGAGGTGGGAGCTCAGCAAAAGCTGAGGAATGTTTCCCTCATGGTGCTATTTCTTTAACTGGCAGCTGTTGCCTTTATGGATTCCTGTGCAGGCTTTGGAAACCTGAGTGCTCAGTGACTTAGACCTTATTTGGGAAGTTTTCAAAGCGAAGGTTAAGAGGAGGGAGAGGCAGAGGAAGGAAAAGTGGGTCTACTCACCAGCCTGATCTCCTCAGTGAGATCGGGACAGGCGCTGGCAGCCCCCAGGGCTTCAGGCAGATGTTTTGCTGCAGATCCACAGCCCCGTCCTGCCAGCAGGTCCTGGGAGGGCTGTGCAGGATTGACTTTGGTCCTTTTTATTCCTGTTTTACTCCTTCTCGTGCGTAGTTTGAGCTCCCTGCAGCAGCTCCACTTTGGCTCCACGTTGCCAAAGGCATATTTTTATTATTGTGTAATGGATCTGTGCCTCTTCCTCGGTCACGTGGCACGGGAAGGGATTTTTGTGCACATGTGGCTGGAAAGCTCTTGATGCTTAGGGAGCTTTTCCATTCTCCCTCTCCCTCACAGTCCTGCAGGAAAGGCTCAGGGGCTGCCTGGATCCTTTCTGATTGATGCTGCCCCTCTCTGCTGTAGTTGCTGCCCTCACAAGCAGGGAATGGGTAACACTGATCCAACTGGGGAACAACTTTCCCACTTTGTCCTGGAGCATTAAAGGGAAGAAAATCTTGTCCTAGGTGTGGAAACTCACTTGAATCACTCCAAGCTTGAATTTAAGGACACAACCATGAAGCAGCAGCTCTGCAAATGCAAATTTGTACCTTGGCACTTCTTCAGGCTGATGTGCACTACAAAATACAACGTTGTCTTAGGGATGGCAGGGCAGGAATGCTTCTGTCTTGGGAAAGGATTGGGATTTTGTTTTAAGCTTGGAAAATAATTACAGCCCCCCAACAATTGCTTCAGGTAAGGCAGGAACAGCAGGAGCAGCAGCTGAGGCTGGAGCAGGATGCTCTGGGATGCTGCCAGGGCTGGTATGGACCAGACTCATCTTTGGTTGTGGGTTCCTGCTCTGTCCCCACCAGGACCCCTCATGGGTGTGGGACAGGGGTGTGCCTGGAGGCAGGGCTCCAAACCCTGCCCTGCAGCCACTAAATCCTTACTGCTCAGGGCAGAGCATCAGCTGATCAGGAGAATGCTGGAATTGTCATTCCTTGCTCTGCCCAGATTCATCCTTCTCAGAGCTGTCACGGTTTATTTTTAAGCTTTCCCCTGTGCTTGCTTTTGGCACTTGCTGGGAAGAGATCTAACGTAAAAATGAAGTCTGTACACAGTTGGCTTTGTGAGCTGGGCCAGTTTAGATGCTCCTGGGAGGGCTGGGAACATTTGGCTGAGGAAGCACAGGGCTGTTTTCATGCTGACAGTCCCACGAGCTCCTGCAGAGGCAGTGCCAGGCCCCAGCTCCCTGGCACTGAACAGCCTCCAGGGGAACAGCCCTTCCCAAACCCCTGCAGTCTTCAGCTTTGCATTTCCCTGGGAAAAGGGCTGCTCTGAAAAGCTGGCTCACCTCTGGCACTGGGGTGAGCACAGCTGGGACAGACCCAGACACAGCTCCAAGGGCTGCTCTGGAAATGGGTCAGACAGAAATTCTCCCTTTTTGCCTGTTTCTATGAATTTGTAAGAATCCAGATTCGTGCTGGGCCCCTCTGCCTGGGTGTGGGCCAAAAGGCTCAAGGCATTGCATGTGAAATAGGAAACCAGGTGAAAGCTCCCCTGGGCTTTGCTGCCGTGCCAGTGGGATGGGCCTGGGAAGCCACAGTGGTTTCCTCAGATGGTGAGGAAAGGAACAGCTCCTCTGCTGACCCTGCTCCTACCCCATGGCACCTGTGCTTTGGGGTGGTGTGACACGGGCCAGGGACGCGAGGATGCTGGGACTCACAGCAATCCTGCCAGGCAGCTCCAGGCAGCAGCGGGGAATTCACAGCTCAGGGTGGTTTTGTGCCCAGTCTGCAGCATGGGGAAGGCAGTGAGAGCCTGACCCAGCTCAGCACTGCGGGGAGAAACTGCTGGGAAGGGAAGCTCCTTTTGTGCTGATGGAAAATCTGTCTGTGCTGCACAGCCAGGCCAGGCTCCACCGGGGTCCCAGACAGCTCTGCTGAGAACACTTGGCAGCACAATTTGTTAAATAAACAAACTGCACAGAGAATCAGAGCAGCCTGAGGCTCGTGCTCAGTGCTTTTTGTGTCAGTGAGACCCTGCAGGGGACATTCAGCAGGTCTCGTCCCCTCTGTGCTGCTTTTAGCAGCAGCCTCTGTGCCGTGACTGCTGTGGTGTCCCCAGGGTAGGGGGGCTGGCTCAGGGACAGGTGTGGGCTGGGGGTGCAGCCCCTGCTCAGGATGCTCTGCCTGGAGTGGGGGGAACAACTCAAACAATGCCCCGCTTGAAGAGCTGTCAGTGAGTGGAGAAGGTGTTCATGCTGCTTTTGGGGTGAATAATGTCAAAACCAGCCTGATCCATGGATCCCAGAGTTAAACATCCTGAGAGCCAGGGGAAAATGTGGCAGATGATAAAGTGCCTGACAAAGGAACAAAGTGATGCTACTGCCACCTCACCCAAAGCTGCTGAGCTGGCACAGCTGGCCCAGACACATCTGCCTGACAGCCAGGCCCACTGTTTAACAGAGGGTTTTCCAACACACCCTCTTGGAGAGTGTGTGGACATTCCTCCGTGGAGTGGGGACACCCCTCAAGGCCACTCCTCAGGGCTGAGCCAGAGATTTGCCCACCACAATCATTGGTCTGGATGAGTAACACCATCCTCTAGCTAATACTTTTTGTTGTCTTTAGTATAATTGCCTCAATATAACTGCTTTAATATAAATGCTTCAGTTTTGCTTCAAAACTAGTGCACTGTACTATGTTAGTAGTTCTGGCTACACATACTAGGTAGCAAATAATTCTGTTTAAGGCTTTTCTAGTCTTATCACTAGCGTGATAAATCATTTATTTCTATATAAATATATCTGGCTTGCCATCCTCAGTCCTGCAGGACAAAGTCACCTGAAGGTTCATTCACCCTTTGCTGTTGCTGTGCACGTGCTGTGGGGGAGACGTGGGAGTGCATAAATGTGGGCAACCATCAGTTCCCAGCCCAGGGCAGGGCTGTGTCCCAGCCTGGAAGGATTTCCCCTTGTTTACCTTCTCAGAACTCACTGGTTTCATTGTTAGGCACTGACCTTGCAGCCACGACTTTGTAACCAAATAAAATGATTCAGCAAATGCCAGAAGAGCTGAAATTCACACCAAGGCTGGAGGCAGCTTAAAACCCAGCAGTAACAATGGGAGTGTGCCTCACCACAGATGAGTGTCAGTGCTTTGGGGTTTTGGGGGATACTAATGGGAAGGAGGAGGCATTTTTCCACCCAACAGGCCTCCAGTCTTACTGTGGGATGGTGATTTGAGTAATTTTTATTGCCCTGCATAAAAGCAGTTTGGAAGCCTGTAAGCAGCCTACAGAGAGTGATTGTCCCTCTCCAAAAGCCCCCATAAAAATGAGTCAAAACCCTGTTTAAACTTAGAGGATGCCCTTGAGACCATTAGCTCTGCTTAGGAGCTGCAGCCCTGACCCATTAAGATAAAAATAAATAGAGCTTATTTTGGGAAGACGGAAGTGGGAACCAGCCCAATCACCAGTGAGCCACTGCCAGCACTGAGCAGATGCTGTCTAAAGCTTGGGGTTATTGCTTTTTGTTCCATATACCTTCTACTCATAATTCAAAGTAAATTCACTACGTTCTGTAATTCAGAGTAAACTCAGCAACCTTTTTGACTCACCACAATGGGCCCCTGCCTTGATACCAAGTAACAAGTGAGACAAGAAGGGATTTCTGAAAACACCTTGTATTTCCCAATCACAAAAACCTCCAGTCCCCCTGCTCTGGAGTCTGCAGCACCAGACTTGCACCTTAACCACATCCAACAATAATGAAAAATAAACAAGACACCAACCAAATGAGAAATATTTCCTTACTCCTACTTTAAAGCCACAACTGAAACCCCATGGCAGAGATCCTGCAAGAGAGACCGGTATAAAAAAATTCTGAGAAAATAACTCAAATCTGGTGTACAGCAGGTGACCTAAAACCTCGCCTCAGGCAGCAAACAGGGCAGGTAACACCAGCAGACTCTCCCTTTTTCACAATTTTTGATTCTTCAGGGCTTTCTTTACTCTCCAGCTTGTAAACAAGAGTTTCTCAGGCAGGAAAATACACCAGGGAAGCTGAAAGAAATAGTAACAAGCTTGGCATAATGAGCTTTCCACTGCAGCACACCAAGGCAAGAGGGAGAACATCTGATATAACCCCTAAATTAAACTACCTGTAAGATGCCCTCAAAGCAGCCTCAAAGCTTATTCCTTAACAAAACCCACAACTTTATACCCAGTGAGCAGCTGGGGGCTGGATTGTTCAGCTCAGAGCTGGTAAAACTACTCCACCAGCATATGGAGAGGGGCCAAAGGCTAAGAGCAGTAATATTTAGCTTTATATATTCCTGCAAATAAACCAGGATTAATTAGAGCAGGCAGCACTAACGCCTCCCCAGCTCCCTCTGCGGGCTGGCACTCGCTCCCAGCCTGTAATTTCCCATGTGAAAAAGGTTAATTCAGAATTAGTATCTCTTTATAATAAGCTTCCAGGGCCAAGGCTTAGCCCAACTGTACTGAACCTGTGGTTTCAGGGACCAGCTGCAGATCTTTCTCTTTGTTTCCTAATCAGAAGGAAACCTCCCTCACATTCCGCAGCTGCAACCTATATAAAGGGATTGGGTTCAGTCACTCCTGTTTTTCCTCGAATACTTGAGGGAAGGTGATTTTTCATCCGCAGCCCTCGAGAGCATGGAGAGCACTTGGAGGGTTTGCGTTTGTTTGTACTGCTGCTTGTCCTGGCTCTCTGCGGGCGCCCCG